CACACACACACACACACACACACACACACACACACACACACACAGTTAAAGGCCCTGCACACTATTTAGGGATGTTATCAAGCAGATAGCAAACTCTGGACGCAAAAACAGCGAAGGGTTAGAGCAGAAGAAAAGAAAGACATTTACCCTCTCTTCTAGATCAATACACTCTAACCTCAGTCTATCTCGCTCCTCTTGGACGAGGTACGCCTTCAAAAGCAAGGCAGAGGAGGAGAGGTTACCACATCAACAACAGCACACCGAAACACTACAGCACTTCACAAGCAGTGAGCATTCGCCAAATCAACACCGGAGCCTGGAGACCCTTACATTCACTACACTATACACACATTAGAGACGCTGATCAGATAAAAAGCAGAGAATCAATGCAATGGTGAGGCTTTACCGTGTTTACCTGATTTAATCCATGCATCGTTTAGCGACCAAACGTCTGCTAATAACAACTATATGATGTGCAGCGATCCAGATTAGTGCCGTTCAGCTGTGGAGATGCAGATCAGATGCACGTGACGCAGGGAAACACGCACATACCTGCATGTCCAGCTCGTGACACCTCTGAGCGATCTCCTCTTTACTGGCCAAAGCGTCGTTTAGATCCTCCACCGTCTTCTTCAGCTGAGCGAGAGGGAGAGGAAAACACACTTCACTCATAAACAATCACGCACTGGTTACGTCATCAGTAACAGAGCTCCAGATAAAGCGGACAGCACCTGACGGTCCAGATCGACGTACGAGTCGTTTCCGGAGGACACGGGCGACTCTTTACTCATCAGCTGTGGGAATAAGACACATTAAACAGCAGGCTACGACATACAGACGGCACATCCATGACACACGCCAGACGCTGACTGACCTCCTGGATGGCTGTCATGACCACGTGCTGCACAGACTCCTCCATCATCATGATGGTCTGGATATACTCTGGAGACAAGATCATAACAGAACGGCATCATCAGCGCAGTGCCACAATACACCAGAACTTACCCTAGTAAGACCACTCCTAGTTTGGCTGTTGTGCACAATATTATCAGACGAGCTTTAGTTCTTATGGGCCGGTGTGTGTTTGGCTGGTTTATACTACATATGAGCTACATACAACTACAACTTATCTTAAAGGTGGTAAAGCATGTGTAATAGTGACACTACATGCACAGAGAGGACAAACATGCTAAACCTTGAGAAGTGCATGCATGTAGAATATACACAGTAGTGTTGGGTCATTCTTGAACGATTCGTTCATTTTGAACGAATCTTTAATGTGACTCGGGAAGAACGAGTCGTGTATTCTGGGTGTGTGTATTTTATTGCTATGACTGTATCCCCTGTGAATGTTATATCTTCAATAAAAAAAAAGAACTAATCAATTCTCTTTCCGGCTCAAACTGCATAGGGTAAGCGTATGGGGCTGTCACGTGATGAAGGAACGACTCAAACCCGAAGACTTGTCAGATAAGAGGTGAGGTGAGCTAATCATAGACTGAAGACCCAGGTAAACATGAATTAATCTTTTATGTTTCTTATAGCAGTTTTGTATTGTTTGTAGTGTGATCAACGTTTGCGTAAGTAGTAGACGTGTTAGGGAAGTAACACGTAACATTTTAATTGTATTTTGCTAAAATGAACGAAATGACTCGAAAAAAGATTTGTTCATTTTGCTGAACGAGACTCAAAGGTCCGAGTCGGTAAAATGATCCGAACTTCCCATCACTAATACACAGTACTGTGCAGACGTCTCAGGCCATTAGTATTTTCACCAACAACACAACATGGTTTTAAGTCTGTTTTTTCTATCTTTTGCTGTAGTGTGTCAGTAGGAAATATCGGTTCACATTTCCAAGCATTCATTTTGCCATTAATTGTTATAATGCAGTGAGATTTGTGTCTGTTTAGGAGTCTGACATCAGCCGGTGCTCTCCGCATCATCGGTCTGTCTGAGATTACATGAAGAAACAGAAGAAACTCAGACAGACTCAATCCAGAAGAACTGTGGCGACTAGAGATGCACCGACTGCAATTTTCTTGGCCGATTCTGATTTCCGTTTTTTTTTGTAAGAGTGACCTGCCGATACCGATTTTTGCAGATTCCATTTTTTTTTATAATGGACAGCATATACAAACAAAAATCTATGCACATTTCAATGCAAAAAATTATTTGCATACTAAATTATTAAACATTACAACTCCCCAATCTGGACTAAGTTACAGAAGTTCTCTCAAAATAAAGTGCTCTGTGACTGGAAAGAGGTAGAAATGAGTTGCTGTTAATAAAACAGATGTGACTCACACTCACACACACTATAACACACTCACTCACTCACTCACACTCTCACAATAACACTCACACACACATTCACTCTCACATTCACTCTCACACTATAACACACACACTCACTCACTCACACACACACACTCTCTCACTCACACACTCACACTCTATAACA